TAAATAATATCTGAGCGTGCTGCGCGATTTTCCATACTGTTCCCAACGATCCGATCGGCTGTTCCCGCGCGAGTGAGAATATTTGAACATGGTTAATGATGGCGTGCCCAAAATCGTCTGTTATTGTTATTTAGAAAAGTATTCAAACTTTAAAATTTGATGTAAAGATTTAAAAACAAACCAACACAGCAAAGTGTGCAATTCGAAGTTACATACGTGCGAGTGTTCATCTCCCAATTTCCAAATTACACATGTTTAAGTGCTCAAACAACGTGTTCTACATCCGTAAGTGTGCATTTTCGAATCAGATATTCGATACCTTCCGTCGAGAAAGGCCCAGCCGCGCGACCGCTGCAGAGAAAGGCTTGGCCGAGCGACGGCTACAGAAAACGGCTCAGTCGGCGGAAGGCTGCAGGAAAGACTACTAAGTTGCATTTTGGCTGCGCGACGTATATGGACGTTTGAAGCGCTAGGAAAAATCGGTGGTCTAAAGATAAACATTCTCTGAAAGCGGCAAACAACGCAGAAATGCTTCACCTATCGTTTGGCATTTTCAGAAAATTTACATCTTATGCCACCGATTTTTCCTGGCGCTTCAAACGAGCACGTGCGTCGTACAGCCGTAATGCAACTGAGTCTGAATCAGTACTCCGTATTACACTGTATTACGCCGGTATTACATGGAAAAAAATACCATTTTAAAGCTTATAACATTTTTTGGTATTACATTGTGCGTAATACCATGTAATACCCAGGTCAGGTATGTACAGACGCAAGGTAAAACTCCCTCGCGAAAAAACGTTTCTTTGAATAAAAGAAATGTTGTTGAATACAACTAAAATTTCGTGCCAGAAACAAGAGAGAACTTTCTCGTTCATACAACGAAAAAAGTTCTATGACGAGACGAAAGTTTTGTCAGATTGAACAAATTTTAATTGAATTAAAGATTTTTTTTCCTCTAATCAACCAAAATATAGTCAGTTCGTGATTTCGTGAATTCAAAGTTACGGGGTCTTCTGGGTGCAGGTTTGAAAATGATAATTGTAACCAGAGAACTCTGAAATGTCTCACGTTCTCGGATTTGGAATTTAATACGACAAATTTTCCCCAATCGCAATTTTTGGGGAGAATGGAAATAGCTGATAAGACACGCTACTAACCTGGTCCGGGGAGTAGTTTTAGCCTCTTGGTCGGACTCCATTATCTTCGCCCCTCCCTCGGAGGTAACTGCCTCCACCACCATGGCGGCCTCTGTCGACTTATCTCTATCGATTTTGCCGCGCGCCAGGGGAAGAAGTATGTTGAAATCGTTCACCACATCGCCGTCGTTGTGGCCAACCTGGGAATCACTGCAACGGGACAGGAGGGTTAGTTGGCGGTTGTCGACGGGTCTACCACTCACCAAGGGGGTTAATCACACTCAGAAGACTGTTTAGTCCAGAGAAACAAATTCTAAACCGATGAAATTTTAGCTCTGGGGACCAAAATTTACTCGTGACGATGAAGTAATTTAGTCTAGCTGACTTAATTTCATTGGTGCGACCATATTTAGTTAAAAACGGGGTTACTAAATTTCAGGCGGTTGTAAATGCTTTGTCGTCCGAGCTCGCGCGAGATCGCCAGGTTGTAAACCTCCATCCTTAAGCAGGGTCCGTCTCAAAATTTCAGCTTCGAGCGAGCCAGCTTCGAGAGGGACATTAATGTAGACCGTATTATTGATGATTTGTGATCCATATGATACGTTTGCACAAAACGCACCGTAACATACGGATAGCTCATCCATGAGGAAATAAGTGTGTAACAATTTGAAAGTGACATTCCGAACCCTGAACCCTCACTCACCGAGGATGGTCGTCCTGCAGCCGCCGCACCATGAAGTAGGTGGGCGTGAGCGCGCTGGGATTGAAGAGCTTCAGCTGGAGCTCGCCCGGCTGCTGGGCCACCAGTCGCACTACGGGCTGCGAGCGGTCGCTGCGATCCACCGCCACCCTGCAGGGCGCGCCGCCGCACTCGGCCGACAGCACGAAGCAGGCGTCCCCGTCGGCATCCACTAGAGACACGCACCTGCCGGAACGCAAAGACGACGACAAACACTTTAGACACGTTGCGTGTGGCCCAGGGTTGACACAGAGAATTTCATTACAAAAAAATAAAAAATAAAATAGGAACAAGCAGGCCCGCCCTCCCGCCACACGGAGTTGCCAGCTCCGCTTCGCTCCACCGGCAACTCCGTTCGGCAGGGGCCGGGCCTGCTTGGCCTGCCGGCGGCGATGGTTGGGCCTGCAGCCCGACCATTTTCGTCACGGCGTTTTGCTGGAGAACATAATCAAATGATGTAACGGCCTTCGGCCCGCTAAAACCCGTCGTTTTTAAAGTTTGCCCCGTAGGGATGTAACGGTGAAGCAACGCGACTACAACCCATACCCTTCTGCTTTTGAAACGTTTTTTGGGGGTGGGGGGTGGGATGGGGGGGTGGATTTTCTTCCCTATTTTGCGATTTTAGGCCTCCTTCTACAACTTATTGTTCACTACTGCAATTTCTGACTTATTTCCGTCAGAAAAGACCCTCCAGCGCCCAAACGGTTAGAGATAGAGCCAACCGGACGAAATTTTCGCCCACACTCTAAATGTCAAGGACAATTTTTGTAACTAGCACCGGACTTCTGCGTGCATAACTGAATGCAGATACAATATTGTGACTTGCTAGTCACTAAATGTGTGTTGGTAGTTACAATATTGTATCTGAGCTAGTTATGCACACAGAAGTCCGGTGCTAGTTACAAAAATTGTCCTTGGACATTTAGAGTGCAGAGACCTCTACTTTCACGAGTTACCCTAGGGGAATTGAGCGTATTCGTAAACCTCAGGCGCGGTATGAGGGGGAGGG